CTTTGCCTCCCAGCTCTTTCCTCTATTTCCCTTGATTCTCCTCCTGTCCCACGAAATACTATTATTAAAGAAAAGTGAAGACTGCAAAACACTTCATAACATGAATGGAAAAACCTGGGGGGGGACATTATGCTGCGTGAAATGAGTGAGTCGCAAAAGGACAAATAATGTTAGGAGACCACTATTGCAAAAGGCCAAAAGGTTTTCATACTAAAAGGGTGGGGAAAGAGGGTAAATTCCTGGCTAGAGTGCAGGTATGTGCTAACTTGGGGGAAAGGAAAGGAATCCACAGTATGAGGGAAGCCAGTGAGCAATGATGAGGGTAGAGGAAGACGCCACAAACAAGGCAAGAGGCAAAGCTATGTGCACAATCCTGCAGTAACGGTCATCACCTCCAGGTGGATGCACAGTCAGACACATGGGATGAACGGGTTTGGTAGGGCGAGTGGAAGTATATCCACGAGATACAGAAGTTTGAAAGAGGGCACGGCTTTGCTGCAAATATATCAATGAATGCCCTGGAGTGAATAAGGGCAACATTATGAAAACACCTTAGACACAACCAAGCACCATTAGGATTTGATGCTGGGCCTGGGGGCTCTGGTCCATAGTCTCAAAAGACATAAAGGTTTAAAGAAACAAAACATGCTAACAAGTACTCAAGGCTGGAACTGGAAACCAGTCACGGGAGGGCAGGAATCCTTGAGCGGGAATGAGAGGCGGGAAATCAATGAAACGTGCACTACCACGAGGAAGCCAGTCTAGTGCCTGGAGGAGGCTGCAGGCTATAGGCGAGGTCTCTGGGGTGAGACTCAAGCTACAGTGGCAAGAGTTAGAGAGCCAAGTGCCTATACGAAGAGGGATGGCAGGGGGACCAGACAGGACGCTATCGCTGCAGTGCTCAAGCCTTCAACTAAGGTGTGATCTGTGAGAAACTACTCAAGGTCTGGGAAGAAATCACCCACGAGAGCTAGAGGGAACAATCTACAGAGCACACACAGATCTAGAACAGTTTTTTGTATTTTGTTTTGTTTTCAGAAAAGGTTTACCTCAGTAGTGGGAAAAATAAGCCTTATTCTAATCACTGCTCCAGTATTGCCTAATAAGGTTTAGATTAAGACCCAAACAAACTATCTTAAATAAAGTTCACAATTTGATAGAAATACAAAAATAAGCAGTATCCCTCCACTCCCACCCACCTCACAAAAAAATAAAAACAAAATTCACAATGTCTGATGGTCAATAAAAAAAATTACAAGGTATGCAAAGGGACCAGAAAATATAATCCACACCCTATAACCCACTGCCATCAAACGGGCTTGGATTCATAGCCACCCTACATGGAGTTTCCGAGGCTGTAAATCTTTTTTTTTAAATCATTTTAAATCATTTTATTGGGGGCTCATACAACTCTTACCACAATCCATACATACATTCATTGTGTCAAGCACATTTGTTGCTGTCATCATTCTCAAAGCAAGTGCTTTCTGCTAGAGCCCTTGGTATCAGCTATTTTTTGCCCTCCCTCCCCGCTCCCTCTGCCTCATGAACCCTTGATAGTTTATAAATTATTATTTTGTCATAGCTTACACTGTCCATCTCCTTTCACCCACTTTTCTATTGTCCTTCCCCCAGGGAGGAGGTTATATGCAGATCCATGTAATCAGTTCCCCCTTTCCACCCCACCCTCCCTGTATCCCTACTCTTACCACTGGTCCTAAGGGGTTCATCTGTCCTGGATTCCCTGTGTTTCCAGTTCCTATCTGTACCAAAGTACACCCTCTGGCCTAGCCAGATCTGTAAGGTAGAATTGGGCTCATGATAGTGGGGGGTGGGAGCGAAGCATTTAGGGACTAGAGGAAAGTTGTATGTTTCATCATTGCTACACTGCACCATGGCTGGCTTGTCTCCTTCCTGCCACCTACAGATGGGTCTTGGGTCCCCAATCTGCACTCCCCTTCATTCACAATGATTTGATTTTTTTGTTCTTTGATGCCTGATACCTGATCCCTTTGACACATCGTGATCACACAGGCTTCATGTGGCCTTTGTTGCTTCTGAACTAGATGGCCCCTTGTTTGCCGTCAAGATCCCAGACACTATTTCTTTTGACAGCCGGGCACCATCAGCTTTCTTCACCACATTTGCTTATGTACCCATTTGTCTTCAGCAATCATATCGGGAAGGTGAGCACACAATGATAAGATTTTTTGTTCTTTGATGCCTGATAACTGATCCCTTCAGCACCGAGGCTGTAAATCTTGACAAGAGTAGACAGCCTCATCTTTCTCCATAGGAGCAGCTGTTGGGTTTAAAGTACTGACCTTGAGGTCATCCAACCAATGCTTATCCAAGAATGAACAAACAACACACAGTAAATAATGGCATGAAGTCGGACAATATACATGTATCCAATCTTCATGAGGCTAGAAGAAAAAATAAGTTGGTGGGTAAAGACATAGAAGATATTTTAAAAACTGAAATGCAAATCGAGCTTCTGGAGAAGAAAACTATAATAACAGATGAGAAATCTACTAAATATAGATCAACAGAAGATTAGACATTGCTGGAAAAAAGATGACTGAAACTGAAGGCAAAGCAATAGAAACTAGCCAAAATGAAACCCAAAGAGAAAAAAAGGGCAGAAAAAAAAAAATGAAGGCACAGATGAGATGCAGGAAAATTTCAAGTAGCCTAATAAAAATAGAACTAAAGTGTCAAAAGGAAGAGAGGGCCAGAAAACTATTTAAAGAAATATTGGCCAAAATGTTTCCATGTGGTGAACATTACAAACCCGGGGATCTAAGCAAAAGTTCAACAAACTCTACACACAGGATATGAAAAATATATAACCACTTAAAATGATTAAAACCAAGGATAACGGAAAAAATAACATTAGATAAGAAAGTCTGTATTTTCTGTAAAATACACATTTATTTTCCCATAAACTTAGAACTCTATAAACAGTCTACTGATTTTTTTTAAAAACTATCATTTCCCATTATTTTCTTTTCAAAAAAGGTCAAATATCGTTTTTATCACACATATAAATGCTCTGCAATCAGACATATCTGAGCTTAACCTTTCCTTCTGCGTTACTGCATGGGTGATTACTAGCATGCAATTATTTTTATAGATATCAATGATATCCCTTTTCTAACTACCAGTATTTAGTTGCTCTCTGAGTGGGTCATGTAGTAATCGGCTATTTTACATATAGATAACTCCATTTAATTCTCACAACTCAGACACTGTTATCTCTGCTTTATGGGAATACTGGAACTTAAACTTGGGGCTCTGGGTATTAAACTAATGTCCATGTTCTTAACCACTGTAGCATGCTACCTGGGTCTCAGCCTCCTGAGTCTGTAAAATAAAGACAGTAGTAGCTACCTCATGGAGTAAGTGTCAGGACTAAACAAGACAATCCATGTAAGCCCCTGCAGTGAAGCGAAATTGCTTAAATATGGCTCTTGAATCCTTATTGCTGTACTTCCCAACAAATGATTGGATGGGACCATGCAAGCAGTGTACAAAACACTTAAGAGAGGGATCAGAAGTAATCAGAAGCATCAGAAGCAGAAGAGCATCTCGGGATCATGAAGAAAGAGCAGCCACCAATGGAGTGTGTGCAAGATCTCTGTCTGAAGTAGCCGAGGCCATGACATGGGGTCCAACAGAAAGCAGGGGAGCCTCATCAAGACCAGAGGCAGTGACAGACTGAGGCTTCCTGGCCTATGGCAGCAGAGACCAGGGAACTGCCTGACTGGCACGCTGAAGACCAGAGGAAGAGACTTGGCTGCTGGCTGAGGAGAGGCACTGATATAGACTAGTGACTGTAACCCTACTGTCTTTCTGATCCTGGCGTGGGGGAATGTGTTAACTTCTCTAATAAACCGCCATAATTGTGAGTACTGTCTGCAAGTTGTGTGTGGCTATTGCAATGGATTATGGAACCCAGCCAAAAAATAGAGTACTGTGAGAAGAACAATTAGTGTCAGAATAGGATAAAGAAAAATGGACAGAGGAGGCATGTCTGACCTCTCTCTCCCTTGGGGCATTAGGACTTGCTCTGGGGTGGGGTCAGACTCTCCTCCCTATTGCAGTCTAAGAAAGTCAGAAGTGTTCCCACACCTTTTCTTCAAGCCCCAGTACAAAGCCAGCCAGACCACACTCACTCAACAGATGGGCACTGTTATTATTATGTTGTCATACTCACCATACATCTCATCTTCCAACCCATGAACAAAGGCTCCACAGGCTCCAGACTCGATCAAGTTCACGGCCCCTGTATCTACTTCTTCTTTGGGAGCATCATCTCCCCACTTTCTGCCGCTGGAGAACTCTCCTGAACTGTAAAGTTCTTTGGCACGCTCATGGGCAGTTCGTTTTCTCTGGAGAGGGCAACAACAATTAGCACTTGCTGGAGGTTCATGACTAAAGAGTTCAATGCACCTCAGAGGACATGGGAAGGTAGGAAGTAAGACTGCTCTGAGTTGCACTTTAAAAAGAAATACTCAAAAAATAAAAAATGAAATAAAAAAAGAAAAAGAAATACTCAGTGTCTCCAAGTAAAGAAATGCAAATCCCACATTCAAGAAATCTAAAGGCTCCCGGCCTAAAATCCCTGACAGTAATGTGATGACAGCAAGTGAAGATGACTGCAGAATGTGCCAGTTAGACAGGCGCTGGCAGTCAAGGCAATACGGGAAAGGAAGAGTCAAAGAGGTAGATAATAGCAGCGCTCCTCTCCGAGCACTATCCTGGGAAGGCAAAACACCAGCTCAAGCAAACAATCTCCTCTAGCTCTGTAGAAAGATAGCTCAAACAACAAAACAAAACAAAAAAACAACCAACCATCCAGCAACAAAAAAAAGAAAGAAATATGTCTCTATTTGGCAATGATATTTTTTTCTTGGATACTGTGGTCACCAAGCAACCTTCAGTAAGTTCACTTCCCACAGAGATTGGCCAAAGGGTAGTGTGGTGACTGAGGAATGCAAATACCAAGTCCACTGGACATTTACAATTTTCACACAAATAAATGACTTGGCATTCTATCTTTTATACATTAGCCCTTAATAGTCTTTCTCCCATGTTAGTCTAAATCTTCCTGGTCAATTGTCCAGAGGCACTGATGAGATATAGCACTTGAGTCGAAAGGGTGTGGATCAGGAGAAAAAAAACACAACTGTAAAACTTAACACAATTATGTCGTGTCTTAGAAACTTCCCATTGGTCATCCCTCATCATCTACCATGAGCACTGACTTCTTACACTTCTACCCCACATCAAGAAAATGCTCAAAATCAAAAACTGATCTCAGATGAAGGCAATGCCACAGTAACAGTGCTGAGTACTCTCTCTTCGTGACAGCCATATGACAATACTTCATGAAATATAGACGCGAACTTCTCAACCAAGCATAAAAATTTCTTAAGAGAAAAAGTCAAAAAAGGCAAAGAGACAATATATATGAAGATGTCCATCTTTATGTGATTTACAATGGTGGAGAAATTTGGAGAATCTAAAATATCCAATAGATTGAAAGGAATAAGAAATGATCATCACTACATCTATTTTACAGATTAAATAGCCAATAAAAATGCTAGGTATACAGATGGCAATCTGGAAAAATAAGCAAAGAGCTGGGAAGAAATAGACCAAAGTGACTGGGATTAGGGAGAGAATTATCAGCAATCATTTCCCCGTCCAACATTGATCAAAGATCCTTTAACTCATAATTATTACTGTTATAATTTGTAAAATTTAGATATGTACTCAGACTCTTATTTAATTCTAGTAATCATGCCAGAGGAGTATCAAGAGTCAGAGGTTCAGGGCACTCCATGAGGAGCATTTTGGGAAAATAATTTGCTCACTCTCCCATGGGAAGAAATGTTGAAAGGGAGCTCTAAAGGTCATACCATCTCACAGAAAAAGGTCTTATAAGTTTTTTAACAAATAGAAAATAACCTCTCCTATTCTTTGTAAAACACAAATTTGGTTCAAGTTACCAAGGTCTTAAATTAAAATGTAATGCAGTCACCCTAAATTAACTTAAATGCATGAGCTGGAAAATCAAATCAACACAACTCAGCATACAGGTATCACATATTGTGGTATTGGTTACAGAAACACAGAGAATTCAAGTTACCCTCAGATCTGACATTAGCTTCTTGTCAAGGGTCTGCTCCAAAAAATGAGAACTGACTTGCTCCATAGAACCCTAGAAAGAAAACCCAAAGCAAATTGAACAACTTTGATGATTTTGACATTATCATAAAATTCAAAGTTTGAAGCCAAGTTAAGTATGTAATCACACCGGATTATCCTTGATAGTTAAGGACATCATCATCAAGACAATTTAAAAAACATTAACAGCTACTCCGAAATAGAGCTTACTATGTGCCATGTACTGTAATAAGAGCTTGGTAGGACACAACTGTTCTATCAAAGAAATACTATTATTAGCCTCATTTTTAAATGGGGAAAAAAGACACGCAGAAGTAATAAATTCCAGTACTGAGGTAAGAACTTGGATGATCCAGAATCCTTGGACTTAACCATTACTCTCTATTGTCTCTTCATTCCTGTATATTCACTCACCCATTCAAAAATACAAATATTTACTTAGCAACCATTCAGCTATATGTCTACAGTCTCTACAGTCTCCAGGAACAGAAAAATAAAACACCACTTTTATATCTAATAACCTCAGCAACCAGTGAGGGAGACTGACAAGAAGCAACTGTATTACAATAGGATAAGTGTAATAGCCATTTATAATGATTGCTAAGGAAACGTACAGAACAATGACTGTCCGGAAGAGACATGAAGAGGTTTATCTGGAAAATTGGAATTAAAAGTACAAATGCTGAGAGAACGCCATGTGGGAAATGACAAGTGGTTACTTGAATGGACTGTAGGACAGACGGGGCTGCTGCTGCTGTTAGGTGCCAGTGAACTGATTCCAACTCTACACACTACAGAATGAAACCTTGGCCTGGGCCTGGGCTAGCCGCACAATATTGACTAGGTTTGCGGTCACTGTTGTGGCAATCAGTCTCAAGGGTCTGCCTCTCTCTTGCTGACCCTATACAAAGCATGATGTCTTTTTCCAGGAACTAGTCCTTTCTGACGACATGTCCAAAGTACATGAGACAAAGTATAGCTATCCTTCTTTCTAAGGAGCAAAGCCGTGTGAAAGCTTATAAATAAGACTTAACTCTCAATGAATAAGAGAAATTTGACAACTTTAGAAGAAATCTGTAAACTAAGAGCCGTATTCTACAGAGAAGCCAGTTATGCTTAATTTACAAGTTGTGCCTGTGGCCCTGTGGATCTGCGTACTTGGGAACAAAGCTGCTCTGCTGCATTAGAGTCATCTACAGATACCAGAAAGCCAACCTCTTCTGTATAGTTTTGAGTTTTCTGAATCAATCTACATCTAAACAATGCTCATCTTTTATTTTAAGCCAAGAACAATGGAAAATACTCTTTTTATTGATGCAAGATGGCCTTTAAGTCCAAAGCCTCATCACTTCATTAGGTCTAAAGCGCTGGAACTGGGGAGTTAGAGGAGGAGCAGTGAGTCTTTTCAGGCCCCTGGTACATGACATTGAATTAGGTAGAAGGAGACTACACCAGAACTAAGGAGAACTAAACTCATTCAGCACTTTACAGTCAGAATTTTTTTTTTTTTCAGTCAGAATTATTTTGAGGTGGGCACCACTGTTTTCCACTCAGTTGGTCAAGAGATTTGGTCGCTCTGCAACCAACTTGTTTTCTAAGAGAGTGACAAGTTTCCAACAGGGCTTCAGCCCCTAATTTTTCCCATTCTGGTTAGCATTCTGATTCACCGACATTTTAGGAATTCGGGTTCACTGCAGTGTTGCTGTGTAAAGTTTGAACAAACTGGGCTGAGCTGGTGCAGAGCCCTGGTAAGTAGTCTTTGCCCAAAGGTTCATTAAAGAAAGCACAACTTACCAATAGCTTTGCAGCTTGAACTCGAACCATCCAGGAGCCATCACTGACCATGTGACAAATTTTTCCAAATGCATCATCAACTAAGCGAATTTCTTCATTAGAAGACGGGATTGGGACAATGCTAAATTAAAAGAAACCACGCATGACAAAACATAAGCTTAAGGCTGCAAGTTTAACAAAACAAGAATAGCCGACCAAAACTGGCACACATGGAAATGATAACTGAGAAGTTCAAACCCTAGAATAGTAAGAATACATTTCAGAGTAAAGCCAATCACACTGGGAATAAAACCAACCATTTGAGTTGTAATGAAAAACCTCAGTGCCTTGAACAAAGGAGTTTAACCCACCAAAGGGTCAGTATTTGCGAGGATATCACAAACCAGCTACCACAGTGCGTCTATCTATGCTTATTCTCTCCTATAACTGCATTGCTGTTACTCCAGCAAGTCTTCAAACGAATCATATAAAGCATATAAAGCATCTGGTCCTAAAAGAAGAAATCATTCCCAGTTAGTCTCCACCACCCCAACTGCTGATACACTAATGCACTATACAATGGTGCCTGGTCCTATAGGTTTATCGACTCGTTCCAGCTTTCCAATTCTAGCTGGCAGTTTAATGAGAAGGAAGAGCCCTGGTCTTGGGCCTGAGCACGGCTTAGTCATTTGTCAATTATAAAACTAGGGCAAGTTAGTTTCTTTGAAGCATGTCTATAAAATAGAATAAATAATATCTGACTCACCTCACAGAATCGTGAGAATTAAATGATTTGATATAAAAAAGAAAAATAGTTTTGCCAGAAAACCATCACAAAAGAAATACTACATAAGGGATAATTATTTTTAAACTTACTGGCTCCCTCTGACATTTATATTTTCTAAACAATTTAAGAGACTTAAACTTTCTTAAGGCCTGAAAAGCACTGAGAGAGTAGGCCAATCTCTTCATCTACAGATATTGAACTTGGGATGCACGAGTAAATTCGCTTTCCCAAGGGACACAACGTTCACAGCCAGGCTGAAAAAAGAAGACCTGAGTTGTGATTTGCAGTCTTTGCTTCCCGCCCATCTACAACAACGTCCAGAAATCTACTCAGCGTTCACATTCTGGTGGCAGCCTGTTTGCAGGAAGGGAAGTGAAGACTGGCTGAGCAACAAGCAAAGGCTTACCCCCACACTAACCTTTCAGGATAGAGCTGACTGACAACCCAGATAAGCTGGACTGCAGCACTGCGCACTTGTTCGTAATCATCAGAGAGCAATTTACAGGCCTGCAAAGAAAAATCCCCAAAGTCTATTAGTTCTGTGCCCTCCCAGGTGATGATCAAAGTATTTTCAAATAAGGAAAGGGTGCTAGATAAGAATATAAATCAATATAACTGTGGGTGATTTTAGCCTCTCAAATCTTGGCCAAACCTAAAGAGTGCTTGGCCTCAGCCAGCTGCTCTGTTGTATTCTAACAGTGTACTCCACCCTAACCACCACTTACACACTCTCTCTCTTTCTCCCTCCCTCCCTCCCTCCTCCTCTTTCCACCCTTGTCTGACCATAAAACCCAACACAAAAAAACATGTGAATGGCACTAAGCCTAGCAAAGCCTGCTCAAAGGCCCAAACACCAAACAAAGCTAACATCTCTCTCTTTTTTTTAATAATTTTATTGGGGGCTCATACAACTCTTATCACAATCCATACACACATCCATTGTGTCAAGCACATTTGTACATTTGCTGCCATCATCATTCTCAAAACAGTTTCTTTCTACTTGAGCCCTTGGTATCAGCTCATTTTCCCCCTCCCTCCCTGCCTCCCCTTCCTCACGAACCCTTGATAATTTATAAATTATTATTACTTTGTCATGTCTTACACTGTCCGACATCTCCCTTCACCCACTTTTCTGTTGTCCATCCCCCAGGGAGGGGCTTATATTGAGATCCTTGTGATTGGTTCCCCCTTTCCTCCACCCTCCCGGTATTGCCACTCTCACCACTGATCCTGAGGGGTTCTTCTGTCCTGGATTCCCTGTGTCTCCAGTTCCTATCTGTACCAGTGTACATCCTCTGGTCTACCCGGATTTATAAGGTACTCGTGGGATCATGATAGTGGGGGTGGAAAGGGGGTGGTGGAAGCATTAAAGAACTAGAGGAAAGTTGTATATTTCATCGTTGCTACACTGTACCCTAACTGGCTCATCTCCTCCCTGCGACCCTTCTGTAAGGGGATGTCCAGTTGCCTACAGATGGGTCTTGGGTCCCCAATCTGCACTCCCTCTCATTCACAATGATTTGATTTTTTTGTTCTTTGATGCCTGATACCTGATCCCTTCAACACCTCGTGATCTCACAGGCTGGTGTGCTTCTTCCATGTTGGCTTTGTTGCTTC